GCCTAACTTGCTTTCTGTCCTGTCTGGGCGAGGCAGGCTCTGGCTGGGCGGCCTCTGTCCCAGTAGCTGCGCCCAGGGCCCTTCCACAATGTGCCTGGGGCTCAACTGTAAGTGCCCTGGCCTCAGCATCTCTGCTAGGGCTCCAAGATCTTCAACTGGCTGGGCTACCGGTTGGTTGAAGATGCTGCACGCAGCAAACAACCTCAGCATGGGCCCCTTCGATTTTGAGCAGGCCCACCTTCACTTAGGGCGGGCGCAGACAGTTTCCAGCAGGCGCAAGGGCCCTTATGCTCCACACTCCCTCCCCTTCCGATACGATAGTCCTCTGAGAGTTCCTTAATTGACTACCCGTTGTTTTCCCTTCAGCATTCTCCCATACGTAGATAGGACTTGAGGCGCTGTCTTCATCAGCTCCTCCCTAGCAAACCACCTATAGTCTTTCGGATCCGTATGATGCCTGAAAGCGACCCGGTACTGCATTTGTTGTTTTGTGTGGTCGTCCTCTATTGACAGACTTACGTACGACATGATTCTATACTCTATGATCTGGTCGATGTCCACGTATCCATCCATGGATGGGTCTCCTTGAAGGAAACTCATCCCATTCTGCAGACGGAAGGATTTTGGAGGCATGAGGTGGAACGCGGATGACGTATGATTGACCATCAAGGTCAGAACCCACAATGTCTAGGACATGCCATGGCCCAAATTACTGCGCCATCAGCTGGCGAGAAACGTTCACTTCCTGCATAGGTGTTACATGCTGCGCCTGCAACAGGCTGCATGGGCCATTTTCAGGCCCGTGTTGTTTTCAGCCTGAAAGCCTGAAAACAAGGGCCTACAGGCCCCGTGTTGTTTTCAGCCTAAAACCCTGAAAACAAGGGCCTACAGGCCCTGTGTCGTTTTCAGCCTGAAAGCCTGAAAACAAGGGCCTACAGGCCCTGTGTCGTTTCAGCCTAAATCAGAAAACGAGGGCCTGCAGGCCCTATGTCTGTCTCTTATACACATCTAGATGTGTATAAGAGACAGGATGAGAGGCATCACATCACCAGGTTGCCCTATCCCACAGAGAGTCCTGTTCAGTTTCCTATGTCCCAGATGGAACTGTGGGACAACTGGAGGTCCAGGCAATGGTTCATGTTGGAGGTTTCCGACATTCCACGACAACGAGACATGCCTCCTGCCAATGTGTTGTTGGTGACGACGAGGTGTAAATGGGCATGTAAAAGGTGAGTTCGGTGCAAAGTGGTGTAAGCCGCCAGCTGAACCGGTTAAACGACTTTAAGAACGGTTCACAATGGGATAGAAAGCTAATGCTCCTCCTTCCCCCATTGTAAGCACCTCCAGGCCCAGACATAGTGTTACATTCTGAGCCTGCACACGGGCTCCATTTTGGGGGCCCGATGGTTGCTGGCCCCCCCCAGGCCGCATGCCCCTCGGACATGCGCCCTGGAGGCCCACGGCCGGCCTTTGGGCCTCGGGATTCGATTTGAGGCAGCATTTATTTATTTATTTATTTGCTGTCCTATTTTTGTCTGTTCAGGCGTTGTTTCGGACTTGCAGTTCGTCCAAACAGACTTTCGGTCTGTTCGGACAAAGAACACGTTTTGGGCCTTCTTCGTTCGTAGTCAGGCCCATTTGGGCCAGGTTCGTGTTCGTCCAATAGCGGACACTCCCTGCTGCATCAGCAGGGAGGCCTGGACGTCTGGTAGGGACCCAGGCAGGTCGTTTCAGTCCAAGGACCAGAGGCACACCAGTGAAGCCCAGCGCTACTTATAGCTGGGCCTGGCCAGGGCGGGGACACAGTTCGAGTAGCTCACTTCTTGGGCGCCACGCTGCTGGAGCAGCGCGACACAGCGCTACGCTAAGGTGTAGAGGCGTAGGTAGGAGGTGAGGCGGAGGCCATATCTGCTGAGGCGGTACTTACCTGGCCGCCATAGCTGGACTCCACGCCAGCGACCTGCACAGAGAGGGACGCCGGCGGCAGTTAGTACATGGCGGCAGTTACCTGCAGGTGAGACAGTGAGGAGGACGACACCTTCTTAGTCCTGCCTTCCATCTCTCCTTCCTCCTTCCTCCTCTCTTCTTCTTCTTCTTCTTCTTCTTCTTCTTCTTCTTCTTCTTCTTCTTCTTCTTCTTCTTCTTCTTCTTCTTTCAGTGAGATAGAGAGAGAGAGAGGTTACAGGCAGAGGTTACATTGGGCCATTAGGCCCAGGATCTGATTCGACATTTTGTGGCAGACATTGATTGGACATTCGGCAGGGATACTATTTTTGGACTTCGCTATCGCGATCTTGGTCTTCTCACTCACCTCCATCTTCGTCTCGCCTCCCCCTCATCTCCTTGTCCGTGGTATCTCCCCATGTGCGTGCTCAAGGAGGGACCTTTCTTCCATGTATGCGGTCCCTCCCCCCTCTCTCGCATGTGTGGTGTATGATGGGGTGTCGCATCAGTATCTGACAGATCAGGTCATATCTTTGAGTCGTCCGTTGCGCCATGTTATGCTATTTTCGTATGTATCTGGATGTGCATTGCTTGTTCAGGCTTTGCTGACGTTGCATTGTCCATTCAAGTCCTTTTTATCACTTCGCGGATCCGTGGATCCCAATACATCGCTCGATTGAGCATGTATTACATAGCATGTTCCCTTTGCGGCCAAGGACGATTCACCCGCTGCATTCTCCATCCTGTCAACCAATGTTTCTTTCTATTCAAAACATTGTTCAACAATGTCAGCAGAAGTTGAATATGATGATTCTGATCTGGAGAACTTCCCGCACACGTCCTGAGCACCAACACAAAGCCCACAGGAAATGCCAGTCACAGCAGGTCTGCTGGTCAAGCTCCTTACCTCTGTGGTAATGGCATGCATGTGCTCACATATTATGTGCGTCATCCTTTCACAGTGGCCTTGCCAATCTTCTCTATGTTGTTCCCTTTTTTTTTTTTTTAATGTTGTCCCAATTGTAACAGATGTTGCGAAGGACCTTGGGGCAGAAGGTTTGAACAAAAATAAACTGAAAAAGAGAGGGAAACAAAGAGCACAGAAGAAACGCTCTAGATATGACAAATCTGCAATGATCTTGATGAAAAGTTACGCGAATAATAAGTAAAACGCACACTCGAAAGATCACACTCTGTTTTGCTATGTTCAATCTTTCTTTCGTGTTTTGTTTGCAGGACATGTTGGACGGGAGTATGATAAATTGAGGCATACTCATACTACCGTCTTACCCTGAAAACAAGGTACGCACCTTGTATACGAATACAAGGTACGGGGTACCTTGTATTTGAATACTAGGTACGTACCTTGTAGAATGAATTTTAGAGTGCAACTTTCCTAAGGCACGGGGGGAAAAAAAAGAAAAAGTATATAGTAAATATTAGTAATAATATCACAAATAAAATATAGTCGATCGCCAGCAGTAGGCTCGTCAACCGCGACCAGGACGGGGCTGCAGCATGAAGTTCTTTTTTGTTTTCTGTTTTTTTTAAAAGAACACATTGACTGCGTTCCGTGCTCACGAGCCCGTTGGTGAACATTACCATTGAGGTTCTCTTCTCTCTCTCTCTCTCTCTCTCTCTCTCTCTCTCTCTCTCTCTCTCTCTCTCTCTCTCTCTCTCTCTCTCTCACACACACACACACACNAGAGAGAGAGAGAGAGAGAGAGAGAGAGAGAGAGAGAGAGAGAGAGAGAGAGAGAGAGAGAGAGAGAGAGAGAGAGTTCACAGCGATCGTTCCCCTTGCACATAGAGAGAGAGAGAGAGAGAGAGTTCACAGCGATCGTTCCCCTTGCACATCCTCTTAACCTCCTCCTCTCCCTCATGCGACCTCCTCCAAACTCTCTTCCGACCTCCTCCTCCACTTGCACGATGTCCTTCTCCCCCTCACAACTTCTTCCTTCCCCTCTTCCGACCTTCTCCTTCCACTTGCACAACCTCGTCCTCCACCTCACACGACCTCCTCCTGCCACTCTCCAAATGGCCCCTGAATAGAAGCACACAAAAAACTCGCGCCCCCCACATCCGCACCGTCCCTCACATGTGTGTGTGTGTGTGTGTGTGTGTGTGTGTGTGTGTGTGTGTGTGTGTGAGAGAGAGAGAGAGAGAGAGAGAGAGGGAGAGAGAGAGAGAGAGAGCTCATGGCAATCGTTCCCGGCACCCGCACATGACCCCACCCCACGATGTTCCACCGTAACTCTTCCAGTTTCGAGCCCACCCAGCATCGAAAAAACCCGGCACGGACTTTTTGCTCACTCCCCCTCAACGTGGTAGAGCGAATGCACCGAATGCAAAGCACGCTAGCAGGATCGAACGGACCTTTCACGAGCCCCGGGTATGAACAACTCACATCGGACCAACGGCTGTGTTGGAGGCCGGTAGAAAACTCTCCAAAACCCGTTTCACGACGATGCACATGGAAAAAAATGCGTGGTGCATGTAGCAGATTCTGCCGGGCCTGCACCCCCTGTGCCGAGCCTTTTCCCAAGACTGGAAGCCTGGCCTGGTGGGACCGTTACGCCAGACCCGGCTTACACTTCAGTAAGAGTATAAACTAGATCTTTCTGTGCATTTTCCCGTCTTCGTCACACAGTCTCGTTGCTCATTGCTGTCTCAATTTGGTTGTTGTCATTTATTTGAGTGTTGTAAGCCCATGTGGAATTTGATTGGGAGCTTCTAAAGTTGGATTCATTACAGGTTCTTTGTTGGCCAACGGTATTGTGTCGCGGGACCAGTCACCATGCAGTCAAAATATCTGAAAGTCTCAGAGAGAGAAACAAGCCTGACAGTGAGTTGCAGTATGCAGTACATGGAACCGTGCTTTTGATTTTTTTTACAGTTCTAATGAATCTAGCCGTCATTTGTAGTGTGCAGTACATGGATCTGTAGTTTTGATTTTTTTATAGTTCTACTGCATCTACTCTCCTTTACGGAAGGAAAAAAAACGTTCTTAATGCATCTATTGATCATTCCTGCATAAATGTGTCCTCCTGCCGCAGGGGCTCGGGCTTTGTACGGCACTGTGCTGCCCATCGTCCATTCGTTATTTAACAGAGTCCCAATGTAAGTCTCCCTTGACGCTATGCCTCATCATCCCTACTCTTGGCACCCCTATTTCTGTGGACCATTCATCGTCTTCCTTCATCTTCTTGTCCTCCTCTAGTTGCGTGCTGCTTCTCACTGATGGCTTGTCTCATTAAGGTCTGGTGCACGCTGCTGCTTTTGCACACCACATCACTCCTGTCCTCCCTCCTCTTTTATTGTGTCCATGCCTCTCTCTCTCTCTCTCTCTCTCTCTCTCTCTCTCTCTCTCTCTCTCTCTCTCTCTCTCTCTCTCTCTCTCTCTCTCTCCATGTTCCAGTTTCAGCTTTCAGTACTTGCCTTCATGTTTCATGCCATAGGATTTGCCCTTATCATGTGATGAGAGGCATCACATCACCAGGTTGCCCTATCCCACAGAGAGTCCTGTTCAGTTTCCTATGTCCCAGATGGAACTGTGGGACAACTGGAGGTC